GCTGGCGCTCGCCGGGGTGGCAGGTGAGGGGCAGGAGGCCGAGCCGAGCTGTAACGAGGCCGCCGCACGCTTCCTCCCGCTCTCGCCCGCTGCTGCCACGCCTCGAGGCCTTTTACATAAGGCGGGACTTAGCCCGCGGCTCCCTGCCCCGCCTGCCCGGTCCCGGGGGCTCTCTCCCTTCCCTGCTCCCCGCGGCTTTTTATAGCCTCGCTTTCTCCTCCGACTCGTTTTTATGTAACCAGGCCTCCTCGATCTGGGAGGCAGCCTCGAGACAGCAGCCAGGCCGCTGTCGCTATTAAACGGGGCTGATCCGTGCTGCCGGTTGCCCGAGCGTCTGCATCGCTCCCTGAGCGTCTCCCGGGAGCGAGGGGGATGCGGGCAGCCCCGGGGGCGCAGGGAGCCAAAGGGTTGCCAGGACGTGATGCAGGAGGAGCATCGTCCTGGATCGTCCGGAGGAGGGGTTGATCGTCACCTGGAGAGCGGCCCTGTGGGAGGGTAGAAGTGGCTCTCCCTGGAGGCTGGGGACCTTGTTTCTTAACCGATCCTTCATTTCCAGGCCGCGTGCCTGGTGCACGTGGGGTTTTTCTCTGCCCAGCTTTCTCTGCTTGGCACGCCAACAGCCGAACTCTTTTTTCGCAAGGGGGGGAAAAAAGGGTAGAGCATGTTTATGGGCAGGTTGGGCTGACAGAGAGACTCTAATACTATTATTGGTGGAATTGTTACTGAAGCCTGTATACAAACTTTTGTAAGACTGGACCTCTCTCTCAATGCAGGTACTTTCCCCTTGGAAACAAACCCTTGATTTAACCACCTTGGAATTGACCAAGATTGAAGGAAACCATAAAATAATGCAGAGTATAGACTAACCTATGCTTAGGAAGGAGTCAGACGCCACGCGTCTCTGCCATAATGTGATTTTTATCGTTGCTTTTTGCCTCTCGGAATGATGTTCGTGATGCTTAGCAAAGCTGCTGCTGCCCCTGGGGTGACTGCTGAGGGGTTATGGCATTAACCAGGCTGTCGCGGTGTTTTTTTACGTCCTAGGGGCAACGTTTCGCTTCGCCTCCTATTACACAGACCACATGGTGCTGCAGAAGGAGCCGGCGGGGGCCGTGGTGTGGGGCTACGGGGAGCCGGGGGCCGCCGTGACCCTGTCTCTCGCCAGAGACGGGGATGTTGTCATGAAGAAGGTGGCGCAAGTTAAAGGTCAGTCTCGGCCCCTTGCTTTTAAACAAAACAAACAAACAAACAAAAAAACAGATGGGAGGCAGCCCCAGCACCTCGGAGCTCGTCTCCCTAGGGTGGCCCCAGTGCGGGTCGGAGTCAAACTGCTGCCCCACGGTTATGCGGAGGCTCGCGCAACGCTGACAGAAGTGCCATGGTGATGCCTCCAGCTCGCGCACCGGTGGGGCTGCGTGTTCCCGATTCTCCCCCCACACACACACACCCTGGGAGACCTGCAGGCCTTCGGCCTCCCTCCTCCCCACCAATGCCAGCCTCTGCTCACTTGAGTTTCCAAACAGTCGACTCCTGTGTGTGCTGTGCGAGAGCCAAGCTGCTGTTGGAGTGGGTGGCGGAGCGTAGGCTCGAGGCTGTGGAGGGGAGGACGGGGTTTGAGCCTCTCTCCCTGTCAAAACGATCGCCGGGAAAACCTCCAAAGTAGTCCTGGCCTTTTTTTTTTTCTTTTTGGATGCATCCCCCTCAGAGGATGCTACTGCTAATGATGATCTGTAAGTCCTAAACGGTGCTGCCTCTGCAGGCACAACCTTCCTAGCGGCTAGGAGGGCTCGAAGGTATCTCAGATCTCACGTGCATGGGATCTGCATCGGTGTCCTGCTGCCTCTGTCCCTGCAGTTCCCTGCTCCCCCCACCCTAAGTTGGGGGGCTGTTCTTGATAAAATTTCATAAGTGAGTTCCTCCAAGGGCTGGAGAGGCATCTTGTGAGAGAGCAGTGACCTGCTTTTACCAGGGTCTGGGAAATCTGTGGGATCTGGGCCCAGCTGGGCCAGAAAATCTGTGTTAGGCTCAAGTCGAATGTCTTTGTGCCTCAATTCTGCACCTCTAAAATTAGCTGGAGACGTCTCAGTGTCACACACACCAAGCTGCTCCTCTAATCCCATTCCTCCCAGCAGCTTCTGCTCTGACACACATTAGTCTTGGAGATTTTTTTTTTTTAACCCCTGCCTTCCTGCAAGAGGAGAGACCCGCTAAATACAGAGAGGTTCTTTATCCAAATGCACTTGCCCATTTCCCCAGGCTGGCTCTGTATGGGGAAGTTTTCCTTCGTTAAATGTTTAGCTATGGTGATCGTCAGCCACTTACCCATTCCCTTTGCAAGGCTCCTGAGGCCTTCGTAGGACTCCCAAAAGAAGAGCAACCGTTCTTTTCTTTCAGAGCCCTCTGGGACATGGAAAACCGTCCTGGATCCTATGGCTCATGGCGGCCCTTACGCTCTGACGGCAGAGCAGCGCTCGGAGAACCTGACGCTGCAGGACATCTACTTCGGGGACGTCTGGCTCTGCAGCGGGCAGAGTAACATGGTGATGACCGTTCTGCAGGTAAGCCCCATGTCGCAGAGTCAAGGCGACGTCCAGCCAGCTCACACGAGCCCTGTTGGGGAGAGGCCTCGCCAAATTGTGGCCCTGCCCATTTCCTAGATCGCCAATGCCAGCCAGGAGCTCGCAGCCGCCTCTCGCTACCCCTATGTCCGCGTATTTGCCGCAGCTCCCGTGCGCTCTGATGTGGAGCTGGAGGACCTTGCATGGATCGACCTGCCGTGGTCTGTCCCAACAGCTGGTGCGTGCTGCCTGCCTCCAGAAAGGCCTGGAAATGGCTCCCCTCCCTTTTTTTTTCCCCCCTTGTTTTTGGAGACCTGCAGCATGCTGCTCCTTGAACAGGAATCCTGGGCCACGGCAACTTCACTTATTTCTCGGCCCTGTGCTGGCTCTTTGGGCGCTACCTCTACGAGGCGCTGCGGTACCCCGTGGGGCTGGTGGAGTCCGCCTGGAGCGGCACCCCCATCGAGGCCTGGTCCTCGCCAAGGGCTCTGCAGGCGTGTGGCCTCCAGGAGGACACGGGGAGGTGAGAGCAGATCCTGCAGAAACGCCTTCTGCTCCGCACTGCGCTGCTCTCAGGAGCATCCTCGCCCCCGTGTGCCCGGAGCTCTCGGCTCCTCCTTCCCTTCCCCATCCCACCGCCTCTCCCTTGCTCTGCTGCAGCAGCCCTGGGTGTCCCTTGAGCCCCCCCTCCACCCTCAGTGAGTCACTCGAGCACAGATTTTGCCCACTCTGGGAAAAAATTCCCTCCCAGGCTGAGAGCACAGGGCACATCTTGGCAGGTAAAGGGCGAGGAGGTGGGAGAGATGAAGCTGAAGGCTCCTGCCTTGCGTCTTGCTCGTTTTAACAATGCAAGCGTGTTGGTCCTTGAGGCCCTCGAAGCACTAAGTGCCGGAGCCAGTCAGGTGTTTTGTGCAGGATCTGCCACCTTCCAGCTCTGTCTTATTTTATAGGCTCTCCCCTCGTGAGCATCTCTCCGAGCCGCAGGTGTCTTCCGTGCTCTGGAACGCCATGATCCACCCCCTGCTCAACATGACACTGCGAGGGATCATCTGGTACCAGGGTAAACTTTCCCCCCTTCCCCGCTTGGCACAGAGTGGCCCCCGCTAGCCAGCTCGGCTCTCACCGGCCCCTCTGCTCTCGTTGCAGGCGAGACGAATGCCTTCCTGCACACCGACCTGTACAACTGCACCTTCCCCGCGCTCATCGCCGACTGGCGCCAGGCTTTCCATGCTGGCTCCGCGGGGCAGACGGGGCCACTGCTGCCTTTTGGATTCGTGCAGGTGAGGTGACAGTGGGGTTTGACCCCCGTTTGCAGCGCCCGTGGGCTCTCCCCTTGACGGCCCCTAGCAGTGATGGAGCAGAAGTGCCTGCTGTGCAGGGCAAGGCCACACTGCAGCCACCGAGTTTGGGAAGGGGCCCAGGGGCGGCTGAGCCTGAGGCCCTGGCGCTTACCCTGCTCTCCCTGCCTTGCAGTTGGCCACGTACCGTCGGCAAAGCCCCGACGACAGCTTTGCCCGCCTCCGGTGGCACCAGACGGCCGACTTCGGCTTCGCGCCCAACCCCAGGATGCCCGGCACCTTCATGGCCGTGGCGATGGACCTGGGCGACGAGCACTCTCCTTACGGCAGGGGGGGCCCGGGTGCCCCCTCGCTGGGGTGCAGGGTTTGGGTAGAGACCAGGCCAACCCCTCTTCCTCTTCCTCGGCAGCATCCACCCCCGGGACAAGCGGAATGTGGCCCACCGGCTGCACCTGGGGGCCAGGGCCGTGGCGTATGGGGAGAAAGGCCTGGTTTTCCAGGGGCCTTACCCCACGCGGGCCACTGTGGATGTAGCTAGGGGCCTGATCAACGTCACCTACAACCAGGAGCTCCTGTGGCGCCAGAGGGGCGAGCGTGCGTTTGAGGTGAGGAGTGGGAACACCCCAACAGCTTCTTTTGCTGCTGTTTGAACCCAAAATCTCATCATGAGCCCTAGAAAAATTCCAGGGTGGGTACGAAGCAGCTGGAAGGAGGAGGAGGCCGGGGTGGGGGAAGGGAAGCTCGTGGTGACAGAGGCTTCTCCCTCCCAGGTCTGCTGCTCCAGCC